GCCTGGTTCTGCTGGAGGTTTCTTCCTGTTAAAAGGGAGTTTTTCCTCTCCACTGTGACTACATGCATGCTTGGTGTAAGGAATTGCATTCAAGTCAATGAGTCGATGCAATCAACTGGTTTTCCTTAGACAGAAAACTTTGAATCAATTTGACTGTATTTGAATTGTAAATGTAAATGTGTTGTGAATTAGCGCTATGTAGATAAACTGAATTGAATTTTTATCCTTAGCTGTAGAATGATAAAGTTCAATTAGGACATGGAGTTAAAAACCTTGATTGGCTCCTTTATTGGTGATTTTTGACTTGCCTGAACAAACTATAGTACAAATGCTACCTTTATCTTCAGTGGCCACTGTGTGATATGGCTTTACTAATAAAGCATTAAAACCCTCTGAAGATGATTTCACAAAGAATAAGTCATGAAATTGAGAACATTGTGGACAACTGGGAGCATCTTCTTCAGAAGACAACAGACTGTCTTCAGTTAAAGGGTTCTGCAGCAGATTCTTCTTGCCTACATCCATTAACATTTGAATTAAAAAGTAATCTCATGTCATTGCTGGTAGCATCCCCCCATCGCCTTGTGCTTTCGTTTTTATTCATGCTACTCTTACTTTTTTTTGTTTGTTTGTACTTTAACAGTAATTTGTCTTTTGTGAAAATAACTAAATTGGAAAGATTGTAAGAAAGCTGGTATTTGCTGAGCGCTTAAAGATAATTTTAAATCCGATAATGTTACTAAACACAATAAAATGCATTCTACAAAGTAATGGATTGCTACAGACGCCTTTTGAAAGGCTTAGCTGTCAGGTGTGTAATTCATTGCTCTCACTCAACTTCTTTCATTTTAGTTTCTTGAGTTTAGTTGAATTATCTTCTCATTAAAAAAAAAGCATCATGTTCTTCCTTTATAAAAACCCACCATCAACCGTCCTAGAACAGACAAAGAGCTTCTGCTAATGCGTTGTTAGACCTTCCAGAGATGCTCTTACTTCTCCTCCTGGTGGTTATCCTCCCCCTCACTGAGTTCCTCATCATCCACCAAGTGTCCGAACGGCTCAGAGGAGATGGACACCATATTGGAGAGGATGAGACGGCTGTCGCTGCTGGCTGTCAACACCAGCTGGTCGTGGCTGTGGTTGTAGCGGACGCTCCACACCCTGGGAAACACATTATTCATTCAGAGTTAGACAGCACAGCAATGTGGGCCTGACTTTTTTTTATATATATAAACATTTATGCATATGATGAAAATGACTGAAGTAACCAGTGTGGGAGAAGAGCCCTGGAGCAAGCTCTGGATGCAGTGATCGTTTGTTGACTGCTTGTATGAGCAGACCACACACGCACACTGTCAGCCACCCACACACATCACGCAGAAACACTCTGCTCTCAATCTGACGTTAAAATAGCTCGATTTGAGAATTTAGATGCCAGTAACGAGGATTTGGAAACTTGCAGTCTATGTTTGAGCTCCTTTCGCATGTGCTGACGATCAGAATCAGAAACTCCATAATCCTTACTTTTATTTCCTTCACCGTTTTCTCATCTCCCTTCCATAACTCTCTCCATTTTGTTCCCTCACTTCCTTTATTCTTCATTTTTGTGCACTCCTTCTTTGTGTGTTTGTGTGCCTTTGTGAGCCCCAGGCGCAGCTCAGAGTGCGGTCCCAGTTCCCTCACAGGGAGGGATTGAGGGATAACCGAGGCTGTTGACAGAAAAATCAGCCGCGGCCACGCCGTTCCCCGTGCTCCGCTAATCCGCTTCCCTGCTAAAAAATAGTCCCTAATACCCCCAGCAGCCCTGAGGCCATATCCTGGCTGCGCTCTGACAAATGAGCGCGCACGACAAACACCCACACACAAGTGCAGTGCACAGAAGAAGATGGGTGCTCATACAGGCGAATACAAATGAGAATATGCTTTATAGAAATGTGGGGAGGGAAAGCACACAAATGCATGTGGCCACACAGATAAAAAGAGAGCTCTGCTAAAACACAGATTAGATGATAGTCAACACACACACACACGTCACCTATCTCCCATCAGAAGACATCCCATCTGCTGCAATCTACAGTTATGGATATGTTTGCTGAGCCTGCCTCTCTTTTAGAGATAACGTCTGCTGCGTGGGTGCGTGCGCACAGACAAGGGGTGTGCGTGGATGTGTGCGGCAGCAGGATCCAAGTTTGGCTCACGCTGATCATCTATTCAGCTCACAGAGGAGACGGTGCGTGTCTCCTCCACCAACACATCTGCAGTTGGCTGTTCAGCTTAGAGCGACGCCTGAAGCCTCGGTAGAAGACAACCACGGGCTGGACTTACCTCCAGTCCTCAACAACCGAACGAATGGCAGCGGATTTAATTAGTAATGAGTTTATTACTGCCTTTTATTACATCAGGAGTAGATGGGGGATTTCATTAGTCATGAGATAAAGCAATTAATGAGACAGGAAACCAATCACGAGTCCAGCAAAAGGGATTAACATCTTGCTAATATTGTGCTTTTCTACATGTGCCTGAATGCTCATCCTCCAAACTGTTGGTCTTTCTTCTGCTTATAATCCAGATACTTTTCTCCACATCTAAAATGTAAGATTAACCAAAAGAGTGTTTATTTTCTGATCTGGGGTGGAAGCGTTTAATCTTAAAAATGAACCTTAACGATCCCACTAGGACAAAACAAAGATGGGAGGCAGAGACGGCCAGAATAATCTCTGACAAAACATGGGAGGGAGTCTGGACTGAGGCACATCAAGTTACAAACTCCAATACGTAATATAAATGGAAAATTATAAGTAGATATTTCAGGACCCCAGATGTTGTTGCCAAGATGGATCCTAGAGTACCAAGCTTGTGTTGGAGAAACTGTGGCTCATCGGTCCCCAATCATACACACATTTTTTGGTCATGTCCCAAACTTCAAAACTTTTGGGACGAGGTGTACAGGACTATGAACCAGATCTTCACGGAGGTTATACCGAGGGATGTTACTGTTGCGGTACTTGGTATTATACCGGAGAGTTCGCAAGGACGGGCCAAAACTTATCTGTTGAATGTTCTTTTTATAGTAGCCCTGAAATGCATTGCAACCAGGTGGATGCAGTTGGAGCCTCCTTCCTATGACTTATGGGTACAAAAAGTAAGAGAGTTGTACAAAATGGAAAAGATAACCTACTCATTAAGACTTCAAAAAACAACCTTTAGCCTGCGCTGGGGGCCAGCAGAAGCTATGCTGATGTAAATAAGCCCAACAAGTTTGTCTCTTGGCATATGGTGTTTAGCTATTCCACCCAAAGTGTATCCTTATGTTAGGGTTTCAGGATGATGCGCCTACAAATTTGAGGCTGAGATCATAAGATATCGAGCTAAGACGTTCATTTTAAGGAAAACTGTATATTTTCAACTTTTGTGTTATGTACCATTGATGTGTGGCTGTACAATTGCTCTGTAAAAAAATAATAAAAGGGTAAGTTCTAAAAAATAAAAAATAAAAAATAGATCAGATTAAGCATAAGTAATTTAAAGGGGGTTTAAAGAGTTTTCCAAATATACTGCCACCTGTGGACAAAACACAGAACTGCATCACTCTTCTGCTTTTTCTCACAGCTCGCAGTTTAATTTTTATTTTTCCTTACGCCGGGCTTACACTGTACAAAGTTTTCAATCTTTGCACACATCTACTGCTCACACTGTACGACGGAACAGCAGGGTTTAAAAGCTCATGATGTTTTTCTCGCACTGTGTGACACAACGCTGTGATGCTATCTAGCAGCTCACACTTGTACGTCTATAAACCACGCAGTGAGATGGCGCTACTTGGACTCGTCTATCCGGAAGCCAAATGAGCAGAGGAGGAATACGAAGCTAACTAGAGTAAAATGCGTTGCCTTGGCAACTTGTGCAATTTTGTGTGCTGAAAGCCCTAAAAGCAAAGGGTGAGGTATTTGGACGAAGACAAAGGCTGAGCAAACGTGGCTACTACGGTCTGTCATTTTAAACAGAAAGAACTCCATTTCAATCATTGCACCCCCGCCATGCTTCTGTGTTTTTGTCTGAGAGGAAGAAGAAGAAGAATCCTTGTTTGTGCACTGAGCGATTTGCCCACGACGGCCGACTGAATTTCAAACATGTTTGATTTTCACCCGACCTCACGTTTCCTGATCAGGAGGTGGTCGTGAGAGGCTAATCGCCCCTCGTTACTGATTGAAAAGTTCTGGCATGACTGCAAAGTCATCCTGAAAAGGGCAATAAATCGTACAGTATGTGCCCGGCTTCATTGGTGTCTGAGTTGAGCTGGATGCTGGTCGCTTCTGAATATCCACAGAAACCATCTTATAACACTTCAACTGTTTGCTAGGTTGGACCCATTTAACATGCACGTCACATCCGTTGAACAGCGCAGGAACTTCCAACCAGAAGTACGTTCAGGGGAAATAGGCTACAGGCTTATTCGAATCGGTGCTGAACTACTGAGGTGTCATTCTGTTCATCTAATGATGTTTTCGTCATAAAGGGTCAAACAAAAAGGCTATTTTAATGATATATTTCAGTAAATAATGTCTCTTTAAAGAGCTTCTGCTGGAAACTTAAGTTTATCTGTAATAAAAACCTCATTTACTGATGATGGAAGGGATGCAGTATTTGTGTAACACTAAATGGAAAGAGAAAACAAAACAAATAACGGGAAGAAAAACCTTTTTTATAAAAGGGAGTTAAATTTATAGCATCTAGACTTGAATGCAAAGCGTTAATTTAAGCAAGTATTGAGTTTTTCTGTGTGCGAGGTGACTTACAGAGCAACTGTTTGACAAGTAAAGGAAAGTAATTGTCTCCCATTCAAGGAAGTCCCCCACCCTTAATCCCCCTCTGTGCTCCACCCACCAGTGTGAGTGCTCCTCCAAGGTCTTTACGGGCTCCTGGACGTTACGGACGTCCCAGAACTTGACCTTGCAGTCGTCCCCGCAGCTGGCCAGGTAGTATTGCCGGTTGGGATTGAAGTCCAGGTCACGCACCAGCTGGCCGTGGGCGTTCTCTATACAGTAGATCTGGCTGGAAAGAGGAAGATAAAAAGATGATTAGAAAGTAGGGAGAAGATTGAAAGCCTGGAGAAAAAGATAAAAAAGTTGAGCACAAAGAAGAACTAAGGATAGAAATAGAGGAGACGATATCAGAGAACAACAAACAGGAGAGGGTTTTTCTGAGGTAAATCAAAGCTTTTTCTATGTCTGTCAGCAATGGCCAGACACCAACATAAAACTATTGCTGGCAGAAGTAAATAATGAAAGCAGGACATTAGGTGAACAGCCTTGAGTTCCAGACATGGTAAAACTAACAGAATGACATAATAAAGGGAACATTTTTCTATTAAATTGGATTCTATTCATCTCTCCGGGCACCTACTTGTATCTCCTACAAGCTCCGCAGATTTCTCTAAATATGCATGCATTTGGCTCTGTTTCCAACATCCTTAACATTTCTATACACATCATATTTGTGTCACAAGCTGCAAGGGGTGCATTTGAACTACAAATAAATCTAAAACTTGACTGACTGATCTCCCCACTCTTATTTAACCTTAAACTGTCATCAAGCTCATTGCCAGACATGGGGAGCATTATTTTTTTCAATTAACAAATGTACAGAGGGTCTTATGCTTGCATCAAAATAACAGGTTGGAGGAAAAAAAATAAGATAAACCTAAATGCTTTTTACAAAATGAAGCCTTTAGGTCAACAAACAAGTATTTAACACAATTTAAAGCATGCACAACCCATCTATGGAGGCCTTAGTCCTCGCGGCAGCCGACCTGGTTTCGAATCCCACCTGTGGTCTTTTGCCTCTTGTCTCTCCCTCTCTCATAGCCCCTTTCCTGTCAGCATACTGTCGTAAAAACAAGCCACTAGTGCCTGGGGGAGTGGCGGCCTAGTGGTTAGGGCATATAGCTTGCAATCTGGAGGTTCTGAGTTTGAGCCCCACTCCCACAGACTGCCACCCTGGCTCTCTGAGCAAGACCCTTAACCCCAAGGGGATGGGTTAAATGCAGAGGTAAATTTCTCCAATGTAAGATCAATAAAGTTTAATTATTATTTTTTAGACACAGTATTTCTAAGCAAAGCTGGTACTCTCTTAATACTTCACAATCTGCAAGGTTCTTATGTGGATTTTTTAGAAGCAAAGCGGGGATTAAATAATTTACAGTATGCCATGTCTACATCTTCTTTCTTTGCCAATTAAGTCCACACCTTTTTCTTTTTGTCTTTGCTCAATTTTTGAGGCAATGCCCATATCTCTTGATTTCTGAATTATCCGATTGGCCCGGAGATGTTGCTCTGATCCACCTGCAGTCGTGGTAAGATGGCTACACAGCAGCAGAGCAATGCTGCGTTTTATTGGGTATAATAAAACAAACCTTCTGAACCTGGTCGCTTCACCCCTGCTTTTAAAGCTGGCTTTCTGTCTGATGGCAGGGCGGCAGCACATTTTTTTCACCTGCTTGCAAACTCAGGGTAACAGTCTAAAGAGCGCAGGGTTCACGGGACGTGCAAAAGAGGAAAATACGTCTGAAAACACCATTTCTGCAGCTGTAATGCTCATTAAAAGTCAGTGTATTCATCACATTTTTGACAATATTTCAAAATAAACAGCGTTTATGTTGTAATGTGCTGGACAGAACACTGGGTGAAGGATGCCAGATGTCAGCCAAAGGACCAATACCATGAGAATATATCAACGTAGCAGGCTGAATTGTTATATATGTTATGAATATGTTAAGCTAAGCTGGTGAGAACCCTAGTTAATTACATTCTCTTACAATTGTAAAAGTCACATACAGCATTACGATTTTTGCTATAAAGACAAAATTGAATTCATTTAGTTTTTTTTTTTGGTTGAAAACTGAAATTGGGTTAATTGAAACATTGAGAGCTGAAGTCTCTTATTTCAAACCAATGAACCAGACCAGCATAGTACCATCCATGAGAAGCTGCAAGACAGGACCAGCTGATAAGCCAGGAATAACATGCCGTGGGCTCTTTTTCTTATGCTTTTGGATGCGCTGTGGTGTTTTAACATTTTTTTGCTGAGATTTCTTTTTTTTTTCTTGTATGATTCACTAAAATAAAGACTGCCCCTGTTACTGTGAAGAAATCCCAGTTAATATGGATTCTACTGTAGGGTTGTCACATCACTAAAATGTTAATCTCCATATTGATTTCTAGGAAAACATTCAATACTTAAGAGCATCATCGATACCACTGGGATAAAAAAAAAAAAAAAAAAAGATAAATAATTAAAGACATGAAAAATACCTTTTTCAAAATCACCTTAAAATGTGCATTCCCAATGGAACTGCAAATGCTAGTTAAATAAAGATGCAAAATGAATAACCCGGAAGCCAAAAAAATAAAAACAGCAAAAAATAGGCAAACAACACTTGTCTTTAGTATCAATACCATGCATAATTAGTATTGCATCTGGATACAGCGGTCAAGTACTGTATACAGTAGAATCTTTTTCTGAGTAGAGATACTTTTGACAACCCTAAGGGCTTCACCCCACTTTATCAAATATTATTTAGGCAATATTTTAATTTCCTAATTAATTCACGTTCAACAAGACAAATAACTTAATAATGCCAAATAATCACCAAATAATAATCACTTTCCTGAATAATTATTTCTTAACGAAGAGACGTTTTTATCTTGTTAAAGGGGGGGACTTTATAATTAAAAGGGAAAAACTTTGTTATTTTATGAAATTCTTTAACCATTAGTGTTTACACTAATCAATTAAAATTAAAAGGGTTCTACATAAAAAAATATATATAGATATATATATACACATAAATATATGACCTCAGTTGCAGTCCTAATGACCATTGTTCTCAGAGAGGCATTGATCAGTAATGTCCAGCTTAGCTGCACATTGTGTAAAGCATCATCATATGTAATATTTTAGATTAGATTATTTTTTAACACTATTAAGTATTTATTTGATGTGCATTCATCCCAACGGTCAGAGAGATTATCTCTCTTCAGGCCCAATGCTTGCTTTCAGATGAATTTTCCTTGCTTTCTGATGTTTTCTATCAAACGGGCAAACAGTAAGCAATGGTCCTGGAGCAGACCTAGCATGAACACACTTATATTTAAGTGCACACACATTCCCTGAAAACCCCTGAGTCTTCCTGACCTAAATGAAGCCCAGCGGTCTGCCTCAGGTCATTCTCTTATACCTCCCTTATTTTAATGAGATTTTTAATTAGCATGTTAATTGCCTAACGCAATCAGCAGGGTGACTAGCTTGCTGGCTAGCTACTGCTGGCACCCAACTGGGCCATAACACTGAGGCTTTCCACTCTGCTGAGCAAAACCACGCAGAGCTGTGTCGTTCAAGGCTAGCCTGCAGAGGAAATGGTGGAAGAGAAAACAAGCAGCGATTTTTCCACACATTCATGTTGCCTTTATGATGAAGGCAGAGTTCCAGATCTAATTAACTCGCAGTTTGTTCTTTTCTCTGACCAACAGTTTTTAGCTGTACTTGCTATATTCTCATGTTTAGAGAAAAGGCTGCAGGAGACAACAAAGAGCAAGAGCATATGTGCAACTAAAGTAACAGAAAATTTACCAAAGCAGCCAAATACATACCACCTTGCATGCAAAAATCTGTGATTTTTAGTATGTTTGCAGAAGAATCTGAACATTTTCCAACTTGCCCGAAGCAATATCATTAGGGAGCACTGCAGGCAAACATAATCATGGGAGGCTTGACCTTCAGCTTACAGGCTCTTCTTTTCCAGTGATTCACAAACTTAAGTTTGGCCAGAACAGTTGTATTATACTGGCTACACCATAATATTGTTGTTCATAACAGGTCTTTCTTACTTTCCACAATTGCAGGCAGATCACTATAGTTTTTATTCTGTTTTTCTCTGAAATACTTCATTCAAACATACCACATTTTTCCATATGATATTATTTAAGTTGGATCTATTTGTCTTCTCCTAAGTTGCCGCTTGCTTAGCTCCAGAAAGGGCACCACGCTTTGCTTAATTTTCTTGGTTACTAAGGTGACAAGTCTATCCATAGGTGACTATAAAATTGCTTTGCTAAGAAACCCCGAAGGCCATATAAAAAAAAAAAAAGAGCAGGATTTGACAAGAACAGAGAAAAATTGCTTTTTAAAAACAGTGACCGATTTGGGATAAACTCTTTGCATTCATTCTCATTGCAAATTAGATAATATTAAAAGCTGTGGTAAAGTAATTAAGACAATTATGTATGGTTAAAAAAAGGTTATAAAGCTGCTATGCTGCTATGCAAGTATTCTGCTCATACACTGCTGCAAAATTAGGTGTTTTTTTTCACAAATGAAGAATTTACAGTGATCTTATCGTTAAGAGTTCAGTTCGATCGGCCTCACTCTGCTAGCACATTCTTCTCTGATACTTTCCTGTTTTACTGTGGGCCGCTAGTAGAATTAGGGTGCCGGTCTGGTTTAAGAACTAGACCGAAAGCACTGCTCCTCAATCTATAAATGCTCTAAGAAATAAAAAAAATAACAAAATCAACAGTGGTGCTCAGTTTTCACTTCAATGTCCCAATTTGACCTCAGTAAAAATGTACCCGTATGCAAAGCAGAGATTGATTCCTCTCAAATTTAGAACAAGTTAAAGAATAGAAACTCATGACTGTTCCTAATTAAACTCCTGCCTCTGATAACGTCAAATAAACTTGCATGATAAGCATGATATCCAAAGCTACTCTGTTTGTCCAACCAATTCAATCTCACAGGGGCTGTAAATCAAGGTAATCTTTAGATTCAGGGTTCTAGGAACATAGGTTGGCATCCCGATAACAACAGACTGTAGATTGTGGAATTAGGAAGCTGAGACCGAGGCATTTCTTGCAAGACCACAAATTTATTTAACATCCTCAGACAGAGAGATAGAGCTCTGACTGAGGCATTTCAGTACATACCTTACAAAAACCCAACACACACTCCCCCCAGCATAAAGAACTTTCTCATGTTTGAATATTTGGAGGATAAAC